GCAGCTTGGGTAGCTCGGTGTTGTATCTGCAGCAAGCACCAGCTGACAGTGTCTCTCAAAGCGGGAGTACTTGTAGATTGCTGTGCTCTCCACTTGCAGTTCTTTATGGCAAGTGTCTCCTGCTGGCTTTCTGAGCATCCAGGGAATGGTTGGGAGTATCTGCTTTACTTTAAAAAAATAGAAAAATTCCTCTTGTTTCTGCAGCAGTGGAAAAAGTGCATGAAAGGCAATTTGATTCTATTTATTATGTTAAAAAGGAAGAAGCAAGCCACCTCTGTGCTTGTCATGATTTGAGGAGCATTGTGGTAGTGGGAGTGGGTGTTGCTGTGTGTGTGGCTCTGTGGGGGTGAGGATGAAGCAGGGAATGTTGCAAAGTTCTTTTGGGAGTGTTGGAGCTCCTCCAAGGTCCTGCACTGTTCCAGGGCACGAAAACAAAGCCCAGCTTCCCCCTCTGTGCTCCTTTGCCATCGGCAGTGCCAAGGTCTCTCTCTGTCTGCTGTGCAAGGGATTTGCTGCAGGAGACTGTGGGAGAGCTGGGGCACTGAGCCCTGGTCACTGTTGCAGGTTTTTGAGGGGAACATGGACTATGGCACCATGAGGACCAACATGTTCAACCCTCCCATCACGGCGCAGTTCATCCGCATCTACCCCGTGATGTGCCGCCGCGCCTGCACGCTGCGCTTCGAGCTCATCGGCTGCGAGATGAACGGTAAATGCCAGTGCTGTCCCCTCCCGGGGGCTGCAGGGCAGGGGGTGACACGGGGCAGGGCATCGCCCCTTGGCCTGCTTCTGATCCCTCAGGACAAGGGATTTGGCAGTGCTTGTTTTCCCTCATGCTGGTGCCTGGGCATACCCAGGGGTGTGTTTGGGGAGCACAAGCTGTTAATCCCATCGGCTCAGCCAGCTCGAGCTGCGTTCTCATGCTGCTAACACCTTCCCAAGCCAGGAGTTTTTACTGTGTCCCCTCCCCGTTTGAGTTGTGAACCCGCTGCTTTTCCTGCTGGAGAGCTTGAAAAGCAGCGGAGGATCAAAGTCCTCTGGGAAATGTAAGGGATCATCAGCCTGAGCCCTTTCCCTGTGCCTCCTGCATTCCTGCCCTGCAGCACATCCCTGGGAACTGAGTGGGACTCGTGTGTCAGTGCGGGAGTGGGATGCTGCGGGGGCTTGGGTCCTGTCCTGCTGCTGTGTGGGTGTGGTGCCATCCGTGCTTTTGGCTGGGGATATCTTTTTGTTGCTCTTTCCACATCCTTCTCTGCTTCCTGCCAAAGCTTTCTGTATTCCAGGACTGGGCTGTGCTGTGCTGTGGGGACATCTACTCATCTCTGCAGCAGGAGGCACTGTGAGCCAGGGAATAGCTGGGAGCTAAAACTCCCGCGCTGCTCATCTGCTGAGCATTTCCCTGCCTGGCCCTGGTGCCGCTCTGGGCAGTGGAATGAGAATGTGGGGATGGCTTCTGGCAGGTCTGCGGGGTTTTGCTTGCAGCGGTGCTGTTGTCTCTTTCCTTTTCACTGCCTGTGTAAACTGTTGTGTTACAGTGTATTTCAACACGGCAGGTTGCTCGGAGCCTCTGGGCATGAAATCCCGCCTCATCTCGGACCAGCAGATCACAGCCTCCAGTGTCTTCAAGACCTGGGGCATCGATGCCTTTACCTGGCACCCTCATTACGCTCGCCTGGACATGACGGGCAAAACCAACGCCTGGACAGCCCTGAACAACGACCAGTCCGAGTGGCTGCAGGTGGGTCTCTGGTGTCTGTAACCTCATGTCTCCTCACCGGCTCCTCAGCTGTGCCTAGGGCCACCTCCTGTTTCAGGGTAGTTGGAACAGCTGGGTTGGTGTGACCAGAGCCTTGTTGTGCATCACAATATCCAGCAGTGCTCTTCCTGAGTGGGGATCACAGGGACAGGTCAGGATGGGATCACAGCCACCGGTTTTAGCAGCAGTCCTGGAGCTCTGGGTCAGAATCAGCCCATAGGAACAAGGTGGTGCCGTATCTGCACCTTCTTTGTGGGGTGCATCAAGCCTGCAGCACCCCAGTTCTGTCTCACCCCCCGGGGAAATGCCATCCCAGCCTGGAGTGACCGTCCCACCACCCTCTGGCTGCCCAGAACACCATGTTTCTGTTTTGCAGGAACAAATCAGGCTTGCTTTTCTCTTCTCAGTCTGGAATAGAAGCAAATAGTTTTGAAATTTCCTTCTCAGTTTCTCTTGCTCCCCTGTTTTTGTACTTTTCACATGATTCCATGACATAATAGGACAAAGCAGTTTAGATATTTGTCCCGTTTTTTATTTGGGAAATGATTAAAAGCAGCTGTCTCACAACTCTAAATAAACCAGCTTATCGAGACATTGGCTGATGACAGGGTCAGGATGACACGCCGAGTTGGGCTATTGCACCACAGGCTGCCTGTTTGTGTATGTGTGTATAGATTTACATGTACACTCAGGATTTATGTGTATTGTATAGCTGGAATTGCCCTCTATGAGCATGAAAACAGAACTAAATTAATGAGGCTTTCAGCTCCTTTGGTGGTTTACCCTGTAACGTGCCAGCAGCAGTAAACACAGTGTGGCAGAGTAAAGAGAATAGAAGGCATCTCGCTTAGAACCCAAATGTCAGATTGTGTTGAACTGCATATTTTCTCAGCTAGAATTACTTTCCAGTGGAAATGCATTTCCTCTGTGAATCCTGTATTTTTTTTTTTTGAGTTGAGATTTTTTGCTGTCCTTCCCACACTGGTGTTTCCGGCAAATAATGTGGAGGTGGCAGGGGTGGGCAAGGGAGCTGAGATGGGTTTGTGCCCACTTTTGGTTGCTTTGAGGGATGCTGTTGAAGGAGTGTTGAAGGATCAGATATTTCACAGTCATGTTTTATGACTTGTCTGGCATGGGGTCAAGTGGTGTTTTCTCCATTCTTGACCCCCGAGGGCCAGCTCTTCCTGGCTGCCTCTAGAGCATGAGCGGTGCTGTAGGCTGGGAGCACCGCTCCTGCAAGGAGCTGTGATGAGCCTTGTCTCTGCTAGATTGACCTCCGGGACCAGAAGAAGGTGACAGGCATCATCACACAAGGAGCCCGTGACTTTGGGCACATCCAGTATGTGGCAGCTTACAAGGTGGCCTACAGTGACAACGGCACGTCCTGGACCCTGTACCGGGATGCCCAGACAAACAGCACCAAGGTGGGTGTGGGGAGCGCGGGGCGATTTCCCAGGGCTCAGGCATGCCATGGTGGGGAGGGATGAGTGGTGGGGCTGAGGTCACAGAATCACAAAAATGTGCTGACTTGGAAGGTACCCACAAGGGTCATTGAGTCCAACTCCTGGCCCTGCACAGGGCACCCCAAGTGTCACACCGTGTGCCTGAGAGTGTTGTCCAAAGGCTTCTTGAACTTCAACACTCTGTGCTGTGACCGCTGCCCTGGGGTCCTGGCAGCACCGATAACCCACCTTTCTCCTCTAGATCTTCCATGGCAACAGTGACAACTACTCACACAAGAAGAACGTGTTTGACGTGCCCTTCTACGCCCGCTACGTCCGCATCCTGCCCGTGGCCTGGAACAACCGCATCACCCTGCGCGTGGAGCTGCTGGGCTGCGATGAGTAGGCACGGGGAAGAAGGACGGGGCTGCTCTTCCCCGCTGCCCAGCCTGCACCCTGCCTGCCCCTGCCCACTCCTGCTCTGACCTCACACCCCCCTCTCCATGTCCCCACACTCAGGAGGCGGCCAAGAGGGCTCCCCTGCCCCGCGTTGGTGCTGGGGCTGCAGCACTGCACTTTACGGGGCCCTTGCAGGTGGGATGTGGGGATGGCTCTTGCCCTCTTGCTGCTCCAGCCAGGGCTGACACCCCCTCCTGCAACTGGGGCTTTCTTGGGGACACCATCCCGCAAATGAGGCCTTGCTGGGGGACCCTGTCCTGCAACCAGGGCTTGGCTTTCTCTTCTCAGCTAAGCCTGGGGACAAATTTTCTCTTTCTTGCTTCTGCTTCCAGCAGAGAAGCTGTAGCCAGTGGCAGTCCCTTGCCTGAGCTGTGTCTTGGGGCTCAGCAGTTTTCAGGGTCTTAGGGCAGGCTCCCCTGGCTTGCAGCCTCCAATGTCCCTCCTGCTCCCTGCTTGTCTGCAAGCAGGGGGTGTGAAAATCCTCTGATTTGTCCCCTGCCCATTTTGCCAGGCCCTGAGTCTCCTTGCCTGCGATGTCAGCACCACATAGTGCAAGTGGAGTGATGAGACAGCTCCTGTCAAGAGGCACCAGATCCCCACTGATGGTGGCTCTACCTGCTGGGTCACTCTGGCAGACACCACAGTGGGGATTTTGGCAGGCACTGCCCATTCCCCTTCCTGGGATGCCAGCTCCAGCAGCCTCCCAAGTGTCAGCATTGCCATCATCCCCACTTTACTGCAGTTTGGCATGCCTGGCCATCCCTTGTCCTCAGACCCAGTGGTGACTGGGGGACAATGATCTGGTAGTGGGGAGAGTTGGTTTGTAGCCAGAAGGATGCAAAGAAAAGATGGGAGAGGTGGTAATAAAACCACCCAAATGCAGTGGGCAGAGAGCCGTGCCACGACCCTTTTTGTAACCTGATTTTTTTCCCTTTACATGGAGTGGAGGGGAGCCTCTTGCAATGCTCAAGCCCTTGGGATTAGCAGTAGGAGATGAGTGAGTCCCAGGTGGGAGCACGGGCAGGCTGTCCTGGGCTGGCAGCAATGCTTCCCCTGCCTGCTGGGATGTGAAGCAGCCATGGGGCTGGGCTGGCAGTGGGTTTGCTTTGGCAAGGGCTGAGGGAGCCCGAGTGGGATGGCAGTGATGGCCCCACTCTGGGGTGTCTCTGACAGTATTAAAACCAGCTGAAACTTTTGGGGGTGTTGGCTCGTCTGCTCTGTGTCTCCCCAAAGACCATCTCCCAAAGCCTGGCTGGTCTGGTGATCCTCCAGGATTCCCTCTGAGCCCCTCAACTCCTCCACCCTGGGGGCTGCTGTGATGGCCCTGCACCTCTCCTGCCTTCATAGACCCTCCTACCTCCCTTCTCTGGCTGAAAAACAGAGTATCTCAGGGCTTTGTGTGCATCTTTCCCACCGTCTCCACCCTGTCCCAGCTGCTGGAGACTGCTCGCAGCTGGCCAGGCGCGGCGGGATGGGACTTGGGGAGGGGAAGCCTCTATCAGCACCCACACCCTGTGTCTCCTCCTTTGGCTTTGATCCTGGAGCAAATCTCCCAGCTTGGAGCTAGATCGGCTCTTACACCCAAGCATGCTCCCAGGGCTGGAGGGAGCTGTGAATTTTGCAAGAGCTGCCTGTGTGGATGTTCTCAGCAGAGCCCTCTTTGGGAGGGCTGGGGCATGGATGCTGCTGGAGCAGGATCTGCCTGCATTGAGGGTGTGATCCCATGTAGGGAGGGGGCATTGTGGTGTACAGGAAAGAGGAGCTTTGCTCATGTCCAGAATCTGCCACACTGGGCAGGGACCCCTGAAGGTGGCATGAATAGCCAAGTGTCATCTATGTCTTACCACAGCTGTCTGTCCCTGCAGCTCTGGACAATCTTCTGCACCTCCCTGCGGCCAGCAGTGCCCTGCTCAGCCAGGCATCTCCTCCTTGGGCCTTGCCTATGGGAGGTGGGCTCTTGCCTTGCCCTGGGAGTGCAAGCCGTGGGCATCAGAGGAGCTGGGGATCTGCTTGAGAAGACTGGGCTGAATTCATTGTGGCTGTGGCTGCAGCTGCTTGGTGACAAATAGCAGCCACAGACAGAGACAGGGACAGGGGGGACAGCCTGCCCAGTTCACCTCCAGACATGCCACCCTTATCATCGGGAAGCTGAGGCAGAGATAAGAGCAGTTCGCTTCGAGTCCAGCCAAGGCAGCCGTGAGCCAGGGATATGGCAGAGGCTCCATGAGGAGGGCGATGGGAGCAGATGCTGCACATCAGAGCGGGGGATGCATCCTCAGCCCCTGGCTGCTGCTCCCCCTGCCCATTGCTACCCCCCAAGCAAGACCCTCTGATGGATTCTGAGCCCCTTCCCAGGCTTGTGGCATTTCCTTCATCCCCCAGAGCTGCAGGATGGGGGGACTGGGAGAGCCAGAGCCAGAGCCAGAGCCAGAGCCAGACTGGGAGAGCCAGAGCTCCTCACTTTGCACAGCCCCTCATGGCTTGTCCCTGTCCCTCGGGTGCTCTTCCTGGCTGTGGCTGGGTTGCCGGGACAGCAGGAAGGCTGGGATGGCTGGCATGCTGCGGCACCCTGCTGACTGCTGCCAGCTGCTGGGAGCTGGTTCCTCAGGAAGCAGCCGTCGGGGAGAGCATCCTCTCATCACCACCCGGAAAGCCCAGCACAGATCACAAACTCCTCCATCCCTCCAGGAATGTGAGTGTTCCTGCTGGAATCATCCTGTGCAAGCAGCATTTCATGGACAAATCTCCGGTGAGGCCACAGCAGAGCTGTCAGGCGCTGGCTTTGAGGTGGGGAAGATGGGGATGACACTTTTATGGCTCCCATTCAGCCAAATGCTCAGCCAGCCCTAGGCACGTGCCCTAAACATGTGCTCCCAGGTCAGAGCTTCCCTGTCACTGCACAGCTTTGCTCAACCTGAAACCTGTGGTCACACCCAGGGTACATCTCTGGGAATAGAAAACAAAAAGAGGATGAGAGAAGGAAGGGAAGGAATGAAGGAGACTCCTTCCTCAGGGTCTGCTGGTGGCCAGATCCTTCCTCACGCCTCTGCTCCCTAGGAGGAGATGGAGAAATCACTGGCCACGACCAGACAAGAGTGGCTTAAGGTGAGGCAGGAGCTGTTGCAGAAGAGAGGTGCCAGGAGGCACCCCTATCCCCTTCCCTCCTGCTGCTCCCCTCCTCAGGCCGGGCAGAGGATGGCTGCTGGCAGGTGCTGTGGTGCAGGCAGTGCAGGACACTGTGGGGCTTGTTCCTCACTTCTGGAACAATGGGATAGCCATGCCAGGGAGCAGCGTGCCCCAACAGGGCTGTCTGCTTTCTGCACAGCCCGGGGGCGGAGGGAACCATCCCAACTGCTGGATCACTAAAACAACTTGGGCAAGCAGCTGCAGCGGGGCACTGACGGCCAGGATGCAGCTGGGACACCATCCCACCACCTCCTCCGGCCAAGTGGCAGGGCTGGGGGTAGCAGGGACCCTCGGCCAGGATTCAGGCAGTGCAGTGGCCCCTTGCCGGAAGATTTAATTGTCCCTCCATTGTGGGCAGGCGGGCGGGCGGCGCGCCCGGCCGTCACACTCCCGTGTCCCGGGGCAGCCCGGCTCCGCCGCGTCCCGCCTCGGGCAGCTCTGGCACGGCTGCGATTGTGCAGGCAAAAGGAGAACAAGGAAGAGCAGTGCCTCCAGACCGTGGGTCCCGCAGCCATCCCTGGTCGGGGCTTCCCACGGGGGGCACGGGCTGTGGTGCCGGCGCTGGCGGCAGATAACGCCGTTTCCTCGCTGGCTGCTCGCTATCAGCGCGGCGGCGACGGGCAGGCAGGATCGCATCCCGAGCAATCCGTGCTGGGCGCTGTCGGGAAGGGCTCCTGGCCCCCTTCACCCCGCAGCCAGCCTCGGGCCGTTTATTTTTACACGGGTTGTTTTCTTTCCGGCTTGAAGCCATCCTGCACGGCGGCAAGAGCTGGACCGGGGCCCCCACGCCTCATTTCCTTGCCGTAAAACAACAAAGTGGGGGGTGAAGCAGCGCACTAGACTGGGACAGCGGGTCGATGGGTCAGGGCACACGCCGCATCGTGGTTCCTCTGTTTGTCCCTTCTGTCTATCCCCTGACCGGCATCCCCTGGCGGTGCCGCGGCCGTGCTGCCCTTCCTGAGGACTCGATCTCCCTGGAGCTGTATCTGCCTGTCTGTGTGCCAGTGGGAGCTGGCATGGAGGGCATCACCCCAGTTTAGGGATGATGCCCCCACAGATGGGTGCAACTGGGCACCCCAGAGTTTTTGCCCTGGTTTCTGTACCTCTGCTTTGTCCCCACAGCATCAAGAAGACCCTGAAGAGGCTGAACCCCGCAGCTCAGCTGTCTCTGCTGAATTCCAGAACTGGCAGACACTGGGCACAGATCACTCCGTGCCACAGCCCACCTGTCCCAAGCTGCTTGTGCCTGTAGTGCTCCTGCCACATGTGTGTTGGGCACCTCCTTTGTCTGGAGACTGTGGCCAGTCCCCTCCAGTGGGATGTGGGACAAGGGATGTCTCATCTTCCCTGGCACTGTGACTTCACCGAAGCTTTGCTTGGGACATCACAGGATCCCAGCAGCCCCAACGGGCAAGTTTTTTCCCACTGCTGCCCCTTCCAAGCCGGGGGCAGTGCAGGCAGCTGGCACACTGCAGATAAGGTGTGTGAACAGTGTGTGGGCAGAATGTGGGCAGTGTGTGGATGCACAGTGAGGCCATCACCCAGGCACGGTGGGCAGGGGGGGCTGGGGGCACCCACCCCAGCTCTGGGCTGCGAGCAGGGGGTTGGGAAAGGCGTGTGTTTCCCTTTAAGAGGCAGGCCCTGGAGCTGCTTCCTCTCAGCCTTGCAAGAGCCCTAAACACAGTGCATCTGCCTGCAGCCTGCCCGCACGCCTGCCTGCAGCCTGCCCGCAACCAGCGTGAGTAGGGCTTGGCCCCAGTGCCGGGACTGGGGAGGGCTGGCACCCCGGGGCGATGGGCACCCTGCTTGCCGCAAAGGGCAGGGCGGGATGGCATTGCCATGGAGGGAGCCGGGCATCACTGCAATAGGTGCCAGGCATCGCTGTGCTGGGTGCCGCAGCACGATGCTCACGGCGCTGCAGCTGAGAGCACTGGCCACGCTGCACGTCACTGCAACGCTGGGTTCTGGGGGGGTCACCAGGCATTGGGGTGCAGGGGGACCAGGGCTGGTGCCCTGCAGACCGAGGTGTGAAGCTGCCGTGCCTCGAGCCCACCCTGCGGCGCGTGGGCAGCACGTGGCGGTGTCCCCGCGGCTCCGGTGCCAGCAGCGCCGCGCGTCTGTGCCAGCTGCCGGGGCTGTGCCGGCGCTCCAGCGGGTGCACCCTGCGCCCTCGGCACCGGCTCTGCTGGCCCCAGTGGGTGGCAAGTGTGGCTGCACCCCATGGTGAGCAGAGGCACTGACTGCAGAGGAAAGTCTGGGATTGAGCAACCTGCGGTTTCACGCCCCCGACCCTGGAGAGCACCACCGAACCCCGTGCTGGACCCTTCCGGGTTGAGCATCTGCTCTCCCACAGCCCCCTGGCCCGGGGTATGCTTGCAGGCACTCGTGAGCCCTGTCTAAGCAGGGCACAGATGTCAGAACCGCCCCCCGCACCCCCGTGTTGGAAGGGGTCTGCCGGAGGCTTGCCGGGTGCCGGGCCCCCTCTGCCGGCTCCCGGAATGCTCACAAGTAGCCAATTCCGCTGCTAGCACCCTGGGCGAGCCCCGTGCAGGGCACTCTTGGGTGTCCTGGCCCCCAGAACTCGGGACAGTGCACATTCCTGGTGTCGTGGGGTAGCCAGGCTACCCCCCACCGATGGGACGTGCTTTGGCAGCCAAATGTGTTTCATGGGGTCGGTGCCAGCCATGTCTGTGATGCAGAGCAGCAGCCCTGGGTTGGACTGGGGGGTCCTTGTCCAGGACAGTGAGCTGGGCTTTGTCCAGAGCCGGGGTAGCAGAGGCAGCCCGAGCTCTCTCCCCCACTCCTTGGTAGGGTTGCACGCTCGGCTGCCTCTTGTAAACCGAGCTTGCTGCTTTGCAGTGGGGCTCAGCCACTTCTCTCCCCCTGCACCCCTACGTGACCTTTTCCCAGTACTCCCTGTCCAAAGGACACCCTGGGATCCTATTCCTCCAGCTGCCCCGTCCCCGACTTGCTCTCGGGCCAGGTGCTCCCCGCAATGGGCACCCCCACAATGGGCAGCAGCGGGAATGTTGAGGTGTGCGGAATGTGGAGGAATGTTGGAGGCTCAGCCAGGCGGGAGGATGAGGATGGAGGGGACTGGGAGCACCGGCTGCGGGGCGGGTCTGAGGGCATGGCTCAGGTTGCCTGCACCCTCCCCTGTGGGCAGGCAAGCTGCTCTGCTGGCTCTTCCCACCCTCTCCTTGCACCCCTGGTATGGAGTCTGATTGGCACCACTGCCAGGCAGTGCTGGCTTTCTCCTGGCTATTTGGGGGTGTCACAGCAGTTCTTTCCCCTTCTGCAGCCCGGGCTTGCTTCCCAGTCATGCTGCTGCTCCCACTCCTCCTGAAGGTCACCCTGCTGCCCCTGGCCAGTGGCTCCTACCACCCCTTCTACAACGGCTTCTACTACAACCACATCATGAATGACAATGGCGACGAGCAGGACAAAGGTATATTGGGGACAATGGGGGCTGGCAGGTTGTCACGGGAGGCTGAAGTACCCCCCTGCCTCTGGGTAGGGTGGAGACCCATCACTTGGTGGGATGTTGGGCCCAGAGGAGCAGGTGGGAACGCTTCAGGGATACTTGGGGGATGCTCATGGTAGAAGAGGTGGTGGCTGGAGGGAAGGTTTGGGGATGCTGCCCAACCCTGGATCCTGACCTGCCCATCACACCTTCCTTCTTCCTCCAAGTGGATTACTTCAGCGGATCCAAACTAGTGGTGGAAGCTTCCAAAGACCCTGTCTACAGCTACAATGGTGCCAATGTCACCCTACCCTGCCACTACCGCTACGAGCCCGACCTGGGACCCAAGCGCAAAATCCGCATCAAGTGGTCCAAGCTGCGGGATGACTACACCAAAGAGCAGGATGTGATGGTGGCCATTGGCAAGACCTACGTGGCCTTTGGGGACTTCAAGGGCCGTGCCCACATCCGTCAGGCTGGTGAGGCCAGCTGGCACGAGGCCTCGCTGGTCATCAGCGACGTGCGCTTGAAGGACGATGGCAAATACCGCTGCGAGGTCATCGATGGGCTGGAGGATGAGAGCGATGTTGTGGACCTCCGGCTGCAAGGTGGGAGCATGCTGGGGACCACACCACCCTCTGCACCAAGCCAGTGAGCGTGGCCTTCCTGTGGTACCTTCTCCTTTGGGGACACAGCAAGGCAGGGGGTTGGGGAGCTTGATCATGGCAGAAAGGGGCTGGGATGCTTGGTGTGGTGGGACAGTGGCTTGGGGCTGTCTGGATTTCGCCTCAGGAGCGCGTGAGCCCAGAGCTGTCTGCTGGGACACCAAGGGTGCTGTTGGAGCTACAGTTGGGAGTGAACCCGTGGCTGCAGCATTTCCTGCCTTTACCCACCCATCTTCCCACTGTGAGGCATTACGTGGAGCTGTCCCCTCCCCTCCCAGCTCTGCATATCCCGATGCATCTTGTGATGATCCTTGGTGACTGGTCCAGCCTCTCTTGCTCACTTGTCATGAGGGACCTGACTCAGCCCTGACATTGCTTTGGAGCTCAGAGCTGTGGAAATGTCCCCATTGCTTGTCCCTGCCCCACCCCCTTGGTCCCTGGCCCTGGCCCTGCCTCCCACAGTGACTCGTCCCTCCCAGTCCCTCCCAGTCTGTGTCCAGAGCGGTGATGCCCGTGGTTCTGTTGTCCATCCGTCCCCATGACAGAGGTTCATTCATCCCCATGCTGGTGGTCCATGTGTCCCCTGGGATCAAGGGGATGCCGACCCTTGTATCCCTGCTCCTGAAGCCTGTGCATCTCCATGACAATGATCTCTCCATCCCCGCAGGGGTGGTCCATGCCTCCCTGGGACCACTGTCTGTGTGTTCCCAGGACGGTGGTCTATACAACCCCATGGTGGTGGTCTCTGCATCCCCATTATAGTCTGTGCATCCCTGTATATGCAGGTGCTGTCCCCGTGAGGGGCTCCTTGTGTCCCCAGGACAGAGCCCTTGTGTCCCTGTGCCACCAGATGTCGCTGGCAACTCGCTGCTGGCGCCTCCATGTCCAGAGCGGCCCCATCCCTGCATGCCTGAGCCTTGTCTCCGCCACACGGAGGTGGTCCCTGTCCCAGAGTCTGAATTTGACACGGGTCAGGGACCCCTATGGCTCCTGCTGGCTCTGGACTCGGGTTGGGTGGGCTGCCCACGGAGCCAGCTGAGTGTCCCATCTGCCTCCAGGCATCGTGTTCCCCTACCAGCCTCCCCGCGGGCAGTACAGGCTCAATTTCCACGAAGCCGAGCAAGTGTGCCAGGACCAAGGTGCCATCCTCGCCAACTTTAACCAGCTCTTCCAGGCGTGGAGCGAGGGGCTGGACTGGTGCAACGCGGGCTGGCTGGCCGATGGCACGGTGCAGTACCCCATCCGCCTGCCCCGCAAGCCCTGCGGGGGCGTGCACCTCGCCCCGGGCATCCGCAGCTACGGCCCGCGGCACCGGCACCTCCACCGCTTTGATGCCTTTTGCTTCTCCTCCGCCCTCAAAGGTGAGTTCTGGGCCAGGGAGGGGGGTGGGATGCTGGGGAATGTGCTGTGCGCCCCTCCCTCTTAGGGCACAGGACTTGGCCTGGGTGGGGTTGTTCCAGGCATTCCAGATGGGGATGTCCGGGGTGATGCTCCCCTCTCACGCTCCGCTCTCCCTCCTAGGAGAGGTTTTCTACCTGGACGGCCTGGCTGGGATGACGCTGGAGGAGGCCAAGCAGAGCTGCCAGGATGCAGGGGCCGAGATCGCCCGGGTGGGGCAGCTCTACTCCGCCTGGAAGTTCGTGGGGCTGGACCGCTGCAATGCCGGCTGGCTGGCAGATGGCAGTGTCCGCTACCCCATTGTCACACCCCGGGCCAACTGTGGCCCCGCGGAACCCGGTGTCCGCAGCTTTGGCTTCCCCAGAAAGGGCAGGTTTGGAGTCTTCTGCTACAGAGAGAGATAAGGAGCCTGGAGGGATCCTTCTTGGACAAAGGATGTTTCCAGCCTGCCAGTGCCCAGTGTCGGGCATTTCCAAGGGCTGTTCTGGGGGTGAATGGGGGGAGGTGGGATGGGGGGAGGTTTCTTTTTGTTTTGTTTTGTTTCCTTCCTTTATATTTTCCACATCTTGCTCAGCAGCTGGCACTTGCAGCTGCTTGGTGTGGCTGCCAGCCGGGCAGCGTGGGACAATCCCTGCGGTGGGATGTGTTCAAGGATGATCCCCATGGGCTACTGCTGCCACCCCACTTGGCCGTGCCACCCCATGGGTGGTGACCCCTTCCTGTGGTGGCAGGCTGTCACTGACACACATCTGCCCTTCCAGGCTGGTCCTGCCTCCCAGCTCATGAGGCAAGGCCATGAGGGAGCGAGGCAAGGCTGGATTTGGCCAGAGCAGAGAGCAGGTATCTCCATTGCATCCTGGCCCCTCTTCCAGCCCCATCCATGTCCCTCTGAAGGATACCATTGTGCCTATCTCTGCTGGAGTACAAGTGCCTTATCTCTATGTGCCCCTTGCCTGAACTCCATTTGAACTCTGGTGCCTTCTTCTCTGAGCATTGGCTATGAAAAGATGTGTTTTTCTGGACATCTTCTAATAAAATGGTGGAGAAAGCCCTGGAGTGACATGGCTGTGTCCCCATCTCTGTCCCAACATGAGAGAAAGGTCTGCTCTGGAGAAAGGATTTGGGGATCCCTGGCTGTCTCATCCTTGGCTGAACATCATCTCATTAGTGCTGGCTCAGCTCAGCTCCTACAATGAACTCGTGTTCCCTCATTAGTGAGTGTTAATTAACCCCCTGGGTGTCAGGACTGAAAGCTGGAAGGTGAAGCAGTTCCTACTGGTCATGGGTTTTAGATGGGTTTTAGGCATGTGGGTTAACCCGTTCCCAAACTGACAGCTGAACAGGGAGGGCAGTATCCTTCTCCAGGGTCCTTCTTCAGTGAGGGCTTGGGACACCCCTCCCACCTCCGTGGTCCCTTGGGTGCTGCCTGGGGCTGAGCCATTCCTGTGTAGCTTGGAGCACCCTCTTTGGGTTCCACTTCCTTTCTTTTTGCCTTGCCATGGGAGACCCCTCTCTTCCCAGCCCACTGGCCATCCCTCTTCCCTATAAAAAAAACCAACACTGACGAAGTGCCCACTCTGATTTAGCTTTCTTTATTATTTATCATTCTTTCAAAATAGGATATGTTCAAAAATATAAATAGGTGCAGGGAACGCTGGTGCCCCGCACGGTCCCCTGGAAAGAGCACGTTGTCCCAGGACGAGTGCTGTGCTGCAGAGGGGGCAGTGGGGAAGCAGAGAGGGGCCACAGCCCCCAGCACCTGGGTCCTGGGTCTCAGCATCCCCTTGTCTCCCTCCTCCCACAGCTCCTTCCACCACAGCCCCCCAGCCCTCCCCACCCGTCCTGACATGCTGCAGCAGTAGAAGGATTCTGGAAAAAAAAATAAAAATAAAGCCCCAAAAGGTGCTGTTCACCCTGGAGATTAAATAACAGAAATAATTACATTGTTCGTGGATAAAATCAGGAAAAAATAATCATCTTTATTATTTAACTTAACCCCCTGCCCTTTGCAAACCCACCCCCCTCCCTGTCCCCAAAGGCACGAAGATAATTGGAACCGGACGGTTAGTAAAAATGCTGAGATCTAATTCGTTTTGCTTTGGTGCTTGGAAAAACAAATTTTTTTTATATATATACACAAAGGTGGGTTTGTCTTTAATATAATTTTTTTTCCTTATATGACAAAAAAGCAACAAGAAGAAGAAGAAATCGACTCTGTTAATATAACTGTTCCGTTAAAAATCTCTCTTTCTCGCTTTCCCCCTCGGTCTCTCGCCCCGCTCTAATGGGCGCGTCTGTGCACGGCGCTGCCGCTGGCTTTCGACCGGCTCCTGGGGCTCCTCTTGTATAGCCTGCTCTGGTAGCTGGAGGCTGTGGAGGAGAAGAAAAGGCACCTTGTTGGCAGGAGCCGGGACAGAGGAGCTGCTTGTCCCACGCTGGCCTGGAAAAACACGGGCAGCCGCAGGCAGCGCTGCCCGGGGGCGGCTGCGTGCGCCCCGGCGCCAGCCCGCCCGCACACGCACAATCGGCCCTTCTCTGCCTGCCCGGCCCTGCTTCACCCGGCGGAGAAGGTGCCTGTGGCTCGGTGAGAGCCTGGGCAGGAGCACCATCGCCACGGCTGCTGGACATCCCTTCCCTGTGCCCGGCCAGGAGGGCAGCTCGTCCCCATCTCACCCTATCAATCCCTAAATCCCCGACGCCAGTATTTATTAGGAGTGGGATGTGCTCAGGGCACAGGAGGGGAAACAGCCCAGCCTGGCTGGCAGGGACGAGGTTTCTGCCTGATCTTTGCTGCCAGTCTCCCTGGGAGCTGGCGTACTCTGGTGTGATAATTGCAGGAGGGTTTTGGTGGAAGCAGCAAAAGCTGGTTGGGAGCAGACCAGGTCTCTTGATCTCTGGCAGTCCATGTCAGGAACAGCCTGCAGCTCTCCAGACCCACAGCACAGCCAAAGGAATCAGCATCTTAATCTGCAGCTGGCAGCCGCCCTTGGACACCTCCTCCATCCCTCCTCCTTTCATCTCCTCCCTGGGCAGAGGTTTGTCCCTTAAGCCCGTATCAGCTTTCCCTGGCTGTGGGACCACTGCTTAATCTGCCTTATCTGGAATTGCCCAGCAGGACCAGAACCTGGCAAGGAGGCCACTGGACAGATGTGATTTTTCTGAGGCCAACGAAATTCTTGGGAATCTGCAGGCAATCAGGGATGGGACAGGGGTGTAGGCAGGCCTGGGAGTGGGCTGGGACACCAGTGGAAGAAGGCTGGCTGCCATCAGCTGGAGGCCTGACAGAAGGAGAGTCAGGAACCCAGCCCTGTGCCTTGGCTTTTATCTGCTGCAGGACTCCTGTCTTCTCCCAGGGCAGGGGGACACCAGGGAAGGGCTTGGGGGCCCCATAGCTCTCCCAACCTGTTCTCTCTGTTGATGCAGGTTGTGCCAAAACTCACCCATTCAGAAGCCATTTATTTTCCCTTCTCTGAGTAGCCTGGGCCATTGGTAAGCTCCTTGTTGCCCTTCCCTGTCTCTGGAGCTGCCCTTACTCTGCCTTGGTGGGTCTCCAGGGCAGTCCTGCAAGCCAGGCTCCATGGTCCCCACCTGCCCCAGAAGATGACAGCTCCCATGGCCCCATCCCAGGGGAAACTTCCAAGAAGTCAAGGGAACCATGGTGTCCCCTTCTGCCTGGCTTAGAGCTATCCTGCACTGGGATGATGTCCCGCATTCCCAGCTCCTTCCAGCTGCAGGGAGCCATCAGCCCTAACCCAGAGGCACCCAGACGTACGGTTTAGGCAGGATATCCGTGGCTGCTCCCACTGCCCGTTGGGCTGGCAGCGGATGGTGGGCACGTGCCGCTGGATGTAGCCTTGCTCGCACTGGTACCGCACCAGGGAGTTTATTTCGTAGCGCTCCTTCTTCCGACCGAAGGTCCTGGCATTCTCCACCGCAGGAGGGTCCCCGCAGGCCACTGTGGGAGATGGGCAGAGACTGGAGAGTGAGTGACAGAGCACCAGCCTGGCTGAGCAGGCAGCTCACACCCCGGGCAGGCTGGGCGTGCCTCGTCACTCTTCCGCGAATAAAACCTTAACTCCCTTTGAGATTGCCTCTGTCCACAAGGCTTAGGGGCAGGGGGATATGGAAAGTCTGTGATTTGGAATTAAGCAGGGGTCTGCCTCAGTGTTCCACTCCTGCCTCCTGGAGAAGCTGTGAGAGCTGAGCATCACAACAGCTGCCTGTGTCTGTGGGAGGACACTGAGCTGGTGTGTGGGAGTGATGCTGCAGCCAGGGTATGACTCTGCCTGGCGATGTTGAATCTTAATGGCTTGTCCTATTTAGTTTCCTTGTGAAACTTTCTCCTAGAGCCTTGGCCATCTTCTTTTTCTAATTCCTTCTATCTCTTTGATCACCCTTTTGCAGTAACAAAACCCACATTCCTGGGCACTGGGCACTCTGCTCCAGACCCACAGCCATCTACTGAGTCCCCCGTCCTTGCCAGTATGGCACAGGGTGCTGACCTGTTCCTTTCTTGCAGGTGAAAGGGAGGTGATAGTTGCAGGGAACGTCGTTCCATTCGCCTTTCTCATGCCAGATCATCACAACGCAGTCCTCACCCGCCGAAAAGAAGTTATCGGGTTGGTTGGGCCGCCAGTTCTCGTATTGCTGCCGAGAGAGGACAGTCCTTCAGCTCAGGTTGGGCCCTGGTCTCTCCTACTCCCTCCCTCATCCTCACCCCACCTCTCCCACAACTCTCTCCAGCAGAGCCTGTGGGTTGCCAGCACTGCCCCTACACCAGTTATTCCTGTTGTGATTCTGCCCAGGACCCGACCAGCTTTTCTAGAGGCTTGGAAAAACCATGAACCCTACAAAGTTTAGGGTTGCGTCTACTCAATGCCCAACCCATGTAAGCAACGGGGCCCTTCCCACCACCCCGAAAAGCTGGTGCCTGCTCGTGCTGTGGGCTCCAGGCTCACCAGGGAGTGCCCGTCAGACCAGCGGAAGTCGTTCTCCACAGCTCTGTCACTGAGGCCGATCCACTGGTAGTCCTGTGCATGACCTGGAAGAACAGGAGGGGGAGAAAAGAGTCATGGTTGTCCTACACATTGCTGGAAGCATTTCTTTGCCATCTCAGCTGACCCTGGAGCCTCTGGTTCATTCAGCTACCCCCCAGTCAATATTCCCTGATGCCCTTTTCCCTCACATCATGTTTGTCCAGCTCCCTCCCCACTCAGCTGCCATGAGCATGGGTGCACCCATACAAGGATGAGGCTTTCTTAGGATTCCTATGAGCACCAGTGGGGCAAATGGTAGTTTTTACACCACTTTGGATGATCTGTCTGTATCAGAGTCCAGTGGCTGGACCTCTGTCCAGTCTTAGGCTGCCCTCAGCACTCACTGTTCACAAATTCTTGTTCCTCTGGGGTGATGATACTGCTCAGGTGGGCTTGATGTTGTCGGCACCTGGTCTCTGCATCCATCCAAGTCTCCCTCTCTTCAAAGTGCCTGTAGCAGTGGCCCTGGAACTTGGTCCAGCCTTCCTCACAGTTTTCCAAGTCTGAAACACACAGAGGAGGGATGAAAATGGATTGGTGCATGTGTCTCAAAGCTTTCAACTCACCTCTTAGCAGCTCATGCTCCCATGGCATGGGACAACACAAGGTCACTTTCACTAAAAAGCACATCCTGACACTGTTGCCTGTAGGAATTCCCTGGAAAAGTTGTCAGAAGGCATCCAAGACAGCAGAGAGGGCAGACTGTGTGGAAGGCCCTGTGTCTGCAGTGACACAACCAGTGCTACTAGAAAACTTGATGATACAGACTTACTCCTGAGAGATTCAGTCCCTGTGTAATGTCCCTGAAGTCTGCTTTTGAGGAATTGACCAAGCAAGAACACCTCTCTTCTCACTTGTGCTGGCCTGTATAGTTTTCTTGCTTTGGAAAAAACCCTCCAAACCCCATACCCAGATGTCCAGGATCAGTGCATATGTGTTGAAATGAAAGAGGGGACCACCAGAGGTGGCTCCATCACTTGATGTGATTCTGGAGCTCTGG